TCCACCAACAGATTACTTTAATCCCGGCTGCCACTCGAAAGATTTTGTGTTCCGGGTGAAACTTCTCATCCTTATGACTCTCTTGGCCTCTCCGTCTAGGCCTACCTGGCAATGCGGAACTGCCCCTCTGTTAATAGGACCCCAATCGAAAAGGACAGTTTTATCGCAAGAAGGTTCAAAAAGATGGTTCGGAGAATCTGCAAGGAATCGAGACGTATCTGCTAGACGCGCAACCGTCGAGTGGGGTGACCAGGTCTTGCCGTCGCCACGGTGTCGCGCGCCTCCTCCTGCAGTGTTAATCTGGCCGACGCACACGGGCAACGGTCATCCGCCCTGCGCCCAACCAGGCCAACACCAACCGGCTGGGTGCCGCCAACCCAGGCCATCCGCATCCCCCTCGTCGAATGGCGCGCGATTCGGGCGCCGCACTCGTCATGCTAATCATAACAGATTTTTTCCGAGGATGACTGGCATGATCCCAATCCGGGTTCATAGCCATAGCCACAGGATAATTGAGCTGAGAAGAGCTGCAGGCGTTCTTGCTGGGCCCGATGCGGAATAACCCCCGCCGTATCCTTGCAAAGCACGCAACTGCTGCAGTGTCGTGTTGGGAAATCAAGACATCTTCGGAGGTTAATATCTCAGAGAATACTGTTGGGCGTCTCTTGAAAAACTCCCGAGTTCACCCATAGGAGGAATATAAGCTATGTACTGGAGAGTTCCAGTTGGTCCCTGCCCTTTGCCAGAACACCAACCATCGCGAAAACCTTAATTTGGCTTGCTGCGATAGATGCTGCCGACCCAATGAAATGAGGTTGGCTTTTGGCTGCGGTTGCCCTAGGGACGCTGCGTTGTTGTAGTGTGTAATCTTTTTCAAACGTCTTTTTTAATCTCGTCCGGTCCATTGCTTTTTCTGAATGAGTTGGAAAATTCAACTGGACGGTTCCGGACGAAAATGATCCCGCTGGCTAGCGAGTATGAGGCCAAAGCCGCGTACATTGCAGTTTTATTTTCCCCTCGAAAATGAGGCGGGAAGCTGGTCAGTGGATGTGGTCTCATGGTTTCGTGGCTCCCATGCGGCATGAATGTGAACTGTGTGAACTGCGCTCCCGTATGAAAAAAGAAATGTTTTTTACTGGTCACCTAAACAATATGCGACGGCTTGTGACGTCTCCTTCTCTTCTCCGACACGTAAATCAGCGAAGAAAGTCCGCCGTTTTTCGTGCAGGATAAATGCTACCAGTTTCCATGGATAGTCGAAGCACCTGCAACGCGTTGATTCAGTTTTCACAGACAAAGCTGCCCTTAATTTTGCCCTAACAATCCTATTACCGCGAGCGAGTAGCCCCGACTAAAACCCCAAGCGAGAATATGAGGGGTTTCATGGTGCGTATGATCCATGAGAGTAATGCACAATTCCACAAGGTCCGTGAGCTTAGGGAGTTAGTCATTGGGGCAGTCGGCCGACAGCCTATTAAAATCTCTAATCGAACATGGGCAACCGTATTTTCCAACTTAATTGGAGAAATAGAGTTCCAATAGATTACTGGATCAAAATTTATTCATTTTATTGTACATTTGTTGTTGGAATATTCGATTTGTTCGGTGGAACTATATTTTTGCTTCGTTGTCAGAACGACCATTTTTGAAAAAATTGACGAAAAAAATTGTTTTTTTTTCAAGCTAGAGTTTGGTGTTGGCATGCGAATTGGTATTGGTAATTACCACATTTTCTGTATGGGGGCATTTTGAAAACGTCGTGTAAGACGGGATTTTGTGAGATTCATGGGTGGAACTATGATTATGCTTCGCAGTGTATAAACACAGGCAAAAGACAAGGAGCCCGGAAGACTTTGCTGCCTACAAGAGCTGGCGACTCGCTAAGGCAGCCGTTGCTAAGGCCAAGAATACGGAAATGGACGCCCTGTACGACAAGCTGGAAGGCCGAGAAGGGGACAAGTTCGTCTTCCGCCTGGCTAAAGCTCGGCATCGCGCGGCTCAGGACATCAGGGTCGTAAAGACTGTGAAGAGCAGCAACGGGGCCATTCTCAGGAAACCAGCCGAAGTCAGAAAGAGGTGGGAAGAATACTTCGAGGGACTACTGAACGAAGAATTCCCCGCAAGGATAGCCCACAGATAGAGGCGACGGCAGGCCCCATCACTCCCTGGACGAAGGATGAAGTCCGCCGTGAGCTAGGGAGAATGAAAGTTGGGAAAGCAGTGGGTCCAGACGGGGTACCGATAGAGGCATGGAAGGCCCTGGGAGAGCTTGGGGTGAGTTGGCTAACAGACTTCCTAAACAATGTAACGGCTGAAGGAAGGATGCCAGATGCGTGGAGGAGCAGCACAATCGTCCCCATCTTCAAAAGAAGGGGACGCGACGGAGTGCTCCAACTACCGCGGCATCAAGTTGACTCCCCATACCATGAAGCTGTACGAGCGCCTGGTCAACACTAGGCTGAGGGAACTTGTCCCTAGCAGGAACAGTTCGGCTTCATGCCCGAGAGGTCCACCACCGATGCCATCTTCATCGCCAGACAGCTGATGGAGAAGTACCGAGAGAAGCGGCGACCCTGCTACCTAGCCTTCCTGGACCTTGAGAAGGCATTCGACCGCCTGCCTCGGCCTGTACTCTGGAGAGCGCTAGAGAACGTAACGTTCCGGAGCACCTGGTCTCCATAGTGAAGGATATGTACGATGGGGCTAAAGCAGCTGCACGGCTTGACAAAGGAGGTAAACATCACGGTTGGGGTACACCAAGGATCAGCCCTCAGCCCGTTCCTCTTCCTCCTGACTCTAGATGTCATGGCAAAAGAACTCATGGAGGGACCACTGAAAACCATCCTCTACGCTGACGACATCGCCCTGATAGCGGACAGCAGGGAAGAACTCCAGGACAAGGTGCAGCGGTGGCAGGATGTGCTCGCTGAGAATGGACTCCGGCTGAACGTGAAGAAGACCAAGTTCATGAGCTCCGAAGAGTGTAACGAACCCATCGTAGACTGCCATGGCGAGAGCATCGAAAGGGTCGAGGACTTCCAGTACCTGGGGAGCGACCTAGCAGCTGATGGCAGCGTGGACCAGGCGGTGAAGGCCCGAATCAACGCAGCCTGGATGAAATGGAGGGAGTCCACTGGCATCCTGTGCGACCGGCGGTGCTCGAGAACGCTGGGCAAGGTGTACCGGGCGGTGGTAAGGCCTACAATGCTCTACGGCAGTGAGTGCTGGCCCATCTGCAAGAACCATGAAAGGCAGCTCCACTCAGCTGAAATGAGGATGAGTCAGGGCGGTCACACAGACCGCTCCGATCCAGCTGAAGGCACGAGAGCAGCGACTGCGATGGTATGGGCACGTGCTGAGAAGGCCTGAGGACCACCCAATAAGGAAGGCATTGGAATTCGAAGCAGAGGGCAAGCGACCACGAGGAGCCCCAAAGAAAAGATGGAGGGACGTCATCAAGAAGGACCTCACTGAAGTGAAAGCCACGGCAGAAGATGCAGTGGATCGGAACAAGTGGCGACGTCTAACAAGAACAGCGGACCCTATAACGGCGCGGGAGTAACGCTAGGGAGAAGAAGAAGAAGGTCTGGACGGGACTGGCCGGCAATTTGACCCCTAGGCCGTGAGCGCGGTAAACAGTGTCGCTCACCACTACACCAACTCTGCAGGGTCGGCGATTCTCAACCAACTGTTGAGGCAAACGGCAACAAGCTGGTGAAAAACGCTGATGGCCCATGCCACCACCTGCGACCCCACAGCATCCGCACAAGACTGTACTTGTGTAACGAAAGACATCAGAAGCGATAAAAATCTTTTCGTCTTTATGTGTTGAGTCGCCTTGGACGGTGCATTGAATGGACTCATGGTGCAAAAGAGAGGAGGGCATCGCGGCAGCTGTTTTCAATCCCTTTCCGTTGAATTTCATTTTTCTGAGGAAAACTGTTCATCCATAATCCCCATTCCCTTCTAAATATTTACACATCATCACTTCTGCACAGGAAGTCTTTGGAGTGGTCCCCACTGAAGGTGACGAGCGCCATGGAATCCTTTCATTGCGTTACCCAGATCCCAATAAACAAACAGCAGCACAATATCGATCCCTCCTTCCGAGAGTTTTTCCTTAAGCGTCCATAAACAGTGGCTTTCTGTATTACCTTTGGATACGCAGTGAGATGATGGTAGTCGCTCGTTTCACACAACTCGACCTCGCTATCATCTCCATCGCATCGGTCCAGGTTAGCTTTCAATATGATCTCACTCTACCCCCCCACCCCCACCCCCTCCTGTCCCTCCCACCCCACCGAACGAAGCTTCACTACCTATCGCAGAACCAATCACGTAAAAACTCGCGCGCATCAACTGCCAAAGAAAAAATCATGCAGAAAATTCGCAATCCGCGTCAAGAGGCCTGGCAGTTCTTTGCACGGGCACCAGGCGTCGGGGTCAGGCATCATTTGCGCTTGGGCTAAATATTACATCCTCCGAACAATGTTTCTCACTACTTTTTACAATTACAACGAAGAAAGGACAAAAAGAAGGGGAAGGGAGTATGACGAATAATTAACGATTAGGAAAAACTTTTTCCAGGGCTCTCTACTGCCTTAAAATACGACCTCGATGTGGATGAAGGGCGGAGAGAGCGAGCGTAGTAGAGCACGGTTAGCAGGTCGTGGGTTCAAATCCGGATCGGCTCCCACCCGGGCCAACCGAGTGTCCTGCCCCTTGGGCACGGTAAATTAGTACCATTAATTTTTCTATCGGCTCTCCCCCGCAAGTCACTGAATAGGCCAGTCGCATTCCCGGAAAGGGATGAATCAACGGCGAAGAATTTATATTTCACTTTATTGTGAAAGTACTGCTCACCACATGATATCCCACAGAGCAGTATATTTCGCAGTGTACTTCTAGGGTACGGCTCTTTCCGTTTATCACGGGCTGTATGTTTGAAGAATGAGCCCATCACATGTTCGCCTGAAAGCACCTGTATCTTATCCAAAAGATTACATCACTGAAAAAAAACAATGCGCTTCACTGGGCTGCTGTTCCGCTATCGATTTCGAAGACAAACGAGGAAGACAACGTGTCCTGCTGGCGCTCGAAATAATCTAATTCACCCCAACGAAAATAAATTTGGAGCCACATAACTGACACAGCGCCCACGTTTTCACCACAGACCCCCCTCCCCAAAAGGCTCATCGATCAATAAACTTGCGTTGGTAAACACACCTTGGAACATTTTGCAAGCATCCAGTGCTTTTTCCGGTGAGAATCCAGGGGGCAGTCGCCATGCATAGTCTTTTTCTGAGAAACAAACTCTAGATGGGATTTCTCGAACAGACTCCCAAAGATCCCAGTCACGACATACGGCTATCCGATATGTGTATTTCCTGAAATATTGTATTTTCTATGAAGCCACACGATAACATGGCAAAACGACAAACAGTCAGGAGGCGTTCATGCTTCACGTCAGAGTTCAGGCGTGCAGCAGCATTCTGAGCGTTTTGAGCTACGGAAAGTATAAGGATCGTTTTAGCTCAAAACGCTGCCGCACGCTCAAACGCTTACGCAGAGTATGAACGCACTCAAAGAAACAGCGATAAGATGTACAGGGGTACGAAACGCTGAAGACACAATTACTAACTTATAAAAAGCTCAAGCACCGCGCTCTGGGACGGAGGGTGCGTTGCTAGGCCACCGTAAATATCGAACTTCTTGGTGAAGTTTCGTACAGAACACTGCTTACGCGTCGATGAGCGTTTTTGATATCGAAGATACCAGTGTCGTGAGCGTTTTTGAGTATCGTGACAAGATCCATGTGTGCTTACTCTGCTCGCTAACCCTAACGTACGACGCTTCCCCACCCTAAGATCAAGATGACGCCCCCCCCCCCTCTGCAATCCATGTCCGTTTGGTTCTTAGAACTTAGCAGCGTGACTGTGAGTGGAATCCGCAGCTTAAGCGTGCCAGTTCTACACGAATTCAAAATGCACGGGAATGGGGCAGAAAGATGGTGATACGCGGGCGTTGTCTACCGCCCGTGCTGCCACACGGCCAGACGCCCAACCATGGTCAAACGCGTTACTTGTCTGCACCCTCTCACTTCTGGCTGTTCTCTTCCGCTGTGCGCTGCGTAATCTTGGTATCGACGCAAGTGCTGCACCTTGAAGATAGCGCGGACGGAGGTAGAGAACAACTAGAATCAAGAGAGCACGGACAAGTAGCGAATTATGGTTATGGTGACACCTAAGTATCACTGCCCTCCAGCCCCATTCCATGTATTTTTAACGGAGAAAGTGGCACTTATAGCTGTGAGAACTGTGACTTTACTTCACTCTTCACACGATAAAGATCGTTCCCGCAGATAAGATGTAGGTTTTGCCTTAAACGATGATGTTCTCTGGCTGAGACGAAGGTCGAATGCAGAAGGGGATAAAGAGAAGGCCGGCGTAGATGAGATAGAAAAGCTCTATCCCATCACCTGTTAATCGCTGCATGTTCGGAGTAATAATGATGGAAGAGAGGCTGTTGGACCAAGCATGGGAGCTACAGAATTCGCATTACTCGACCAGCGTGTTCTCTTCGATTCCACACCTGATCCTCATCATATGTAAAGAGAACACAAACCTGTAGGCAACATGTCTTCGAATACAGAAACCAGCGGCTACACTATTCAAATCCAGCACTTTCAGAGCTCCTGAACTTTCACTTTAATGAAACGTGAAAAAGATGAACGAAAACCTGCACAATTTCCAACCTGGAGCAAATTCTTCGATAGCAGTATTCCATTTGTTTATATACTGATTCTTATTCTCTACACTTGTATCAAAAACCGCATATTCTGTAGGAACCTGACATATCACGGCATTCCGAAGAGCATGGACACCGGCATCTGTTCTAAGTAATAAAATTAAAAATGAAGACAAAGAATCTCGCAAAGCACAAGGTCACAGTTATTCTCAGTCCATTGAAGATGCAAAAAAAACTCAGAAAAAGTCTCAGAAAATCAG